GAGGGGCAGAATAACCTAATCCTGTTCCCATGTTTGTAGATTAGTGAAGGCAGTAGGACAGGTGGAGAGCAGTAAATAAAATGTATCGTGTCCTCGGCTTTATAAATAGGGACATAGAGTACAAGAGAAAGGAGGTTATGCTGACTTGTACAAGACATTGTTAGAATTCACCTGGAGTATTCAACTGGAGTTCTGAATACCAGTGTGTAGGGGAGATGTGAATGCATTGGAGAGAGTGCTGAAGGGATTTACAAAAATGGTTCTAAGGATGTGAAACTTCAGTTAAGAGGACAGATTGCAGAATTAGGGACTGTTTTCCTTGGAGAAAACCAGGCTAAGAGGAAATCTGGTAGTATTTTTCAAAATCATGAGACATCTGGATAGTTCTCCTGTAACGCGATACTTGCATTCTTGTGTAACTTCACGCTGTAGAAAATCACATTATAGGGAAATCGCTGCACTTGTACAGCAGAAAGGTTGCATTATTGAAACAGCATCCACTATTCATCAATTGCATTACAGCCAATTCACGTTAACGAAACATGCGTTATAGCAAAACTACCTGTAACAGGGAGAAACTTATCTTACTCATAAAAGGATTGGGAATGAGAAGCCATGGGTTTAAATTGATTTCAAAGGAAGCAAATGTGATGTGAGCAAAACTGTTTTCAAGTGGTTTGTGTCTGGTGGAGGCAGAGTAAATTGAGGAATTCAGGAGGGTAAGAGATGATTATTTGAATATAAACTATGTGCAAGAGTATGAGAAAAAGGGAAGTGAATAGTGTCTAAGTCATATTGTTCATTGAAGAGCCAGCTTAGACACAATGGCCAAATGACCGCCTGCAGTGTAACAATTTGATGATAATTAGACCTTCTTCCCAGTCCATATAACAGATGTAATTGAGGTTGTTGTGTAATTTGAAAATGAGGATGAGGTGATGGCCTAGTGGTATATTGCTAGGCTATTAATTCAGGAAACTCAGCTAATGTTTTGGGGCCCCAGGTTCAAATCCTGCCATGGTAGATGGTGGAATTTGAATACAATGAATTTTTTTTTGCAATTAAAATAAAACCATTGCTGTTTGTCAGGAAAACCCCTTTTGGTTCACCAATGTCCTTTAAGAAAGGAAATATGCCATCCTCACGTGGTCTGGCCCACTTGTGACTCCAGACCCGCAGCAATGTGGGTGACTCACAACTGTCCTCTGAAATGGCCTAGAAGCCACTTAGTTACACCAATCGCTACAAAGTCTCAATAAAGAAATGAAAGTGAATAGACCACCAGGCATCCTTCTTACTAACTTCTGAGAACAAGTCCCAAAATTAAGAGAATTGTCTTATAGACTGGTCAAGCAACAGCTTAACATTGTAATACTCACAGAATCGTAATCTTACAATGTCCCACCACCATCACCAGCCCTGGATATGTCCTCTCCCACCATTAGGACTTACCCAGTAGGTGGCAGCACTGTGGTATCCAGTCTGGAGGGAGTTGCCCTGGGAGTCCTCAACATGACTGTGGACCCCATGAGGTCCCATGACTTCAGATTAAACGTGGGCTGAAACCTCCTGCTGATTACCACATACCATCCTCCCTCAGCTGATGAATCGGTACTCCTCCATGTTGAGCAACACTTAGAGGAAGCACTGGGGATAGCAAGGGCACAGAATGTACTCTGGGTGGGTGATGTCGATGTCCACCACCAAGAGTGGCTCGGCAGCAGTACTACTGATCGAGCTGGTCGGGTCCTAAAGGACAGAGCTGCTAGACTGGGTCTGCGGCAGGTGGTGAGGGAACCAACAAGAAGGAAAAACATACTTGACCTCCTCCTTATCAATCTTCTGGCTGCAGATGGGCCCTGACAACATTCTGGCAAAAGTACTGAAGACTTGTGCTCCAGAACTTGCTGCTCCCCTAACCAAGCTCTTCCAGTAGAGTTACAAGACTGGTATCTACCCAACAATATGGAAAATTGCCCAGGTATGTCCTGTACACAAAAAAAACGGCAGGATAAATTCAATCTGGCCAATTACTGCCCCATCAGTCTACTCTCGATCATCAGTAAATTGATTGGAAGATGTCATCTACAGTGCTATCAAGCAGCACCTGCTCAGCAATAACCTGCTCAGTGACGCCCAGTTTGGGTTATGCCAGGGCCACTCAGTTCCCAACCTCATTACAGCCTTGGTTCAAACATGGACAAAAGAGCTGAATTCCATAGGTGAGTTGAGAGTGATAGCCCTTGTCATCAAGGCTGCATTCAACTGTGTTTTGGCATTAAGGAGTCATAGATTCATACAGCACTTTCAGTCCAACTCATCTGTGCTGACCAAGTTTTCCCAAACTAAACTAGTCCCGTGTGCCAGCATTTGGCCCATATCCCTCTCACCTTTCCTATTCATGTACCTATCCAAATATCTTTTAAATGTTGCAACTATATCTAACTCTTCCTCTGGCAGTTCATCTCACATACACACCATCCTCTGTATGCAAAGGTAGCCCCTCAGATCTCTTTTAAATCTTTTTCCTCTAACCTTAAAAATATGCCCTCTAGTTTTGAAATTTCCTACCCTTGGGAAAAGACCTTTGCTATTCACCTTATCTATGTCTCATAATTTTTGCTAGGAGCCCTAGCAAAACTAGAATCAATGAGGGAGAGGGGGCAAACTCTGCTGGAGTCATACCTGGCATGTAGGAAGATGGTTGTGGTAGTTGGAGGTCAGTCATCTTAGCTCCAGGACATCTCTGCAGGAGTTCCTCAGGGTAAGTTGCTAAGGGCAACGTGGTGGCTCAGTAGTTAGCACTGCTAACTCAGAGCGCTAAGGACCCGGGTTTGATTCCACATTTGGATGACTGACTGTGTGGAGTTTGCATGTTCTCCCTGCATCTATGTGGATTTCCTCCCACACTTCAAAGATGTGCAAGTTAGGGTGGATTGGCCGTGCTAAATTGCCATGTAGTGTCCAGGGATGTGCAGGCTAGGTGGTTAGCCACGGAAAATGTGGAGTTATTAAGGGGATAGGGTGAGGTGCTGGGTCTGGATGGGATGATCTGTGGACGGTTGGTATGGACCTGAGGGCCAAATGGCCTCTTTTTGCACTGTAGGGATTCTGTGATTCTAGTGTCCTACACCCAATCATCTTCAGCTGCTTCATCAATGAACTTCCCTCCACCATAAGGTCATGGGGGATGTTCACCAATGAGTACACAATTTCAGCACCATTCACTACTGACTACAGAAGCAGTCCGTGTTCAAATGCAGTAAGGTCTAGAAAATATCCAGGCTTAGGCTGACAAGTGGCAAGTAAAGTTTGTGCTACACAAATGCCAGGCAATGACCATCTTCAGTAGAGACAATCTAACCACTGCCCCTTGACATTCAGTGGTGTTACCATCACTGAATCCTCCATTATCAACATTCTTAGGATGACCAATGACCCCCAGAAACTGAACTGGATTAACCATACAAATACTGTGGCTGTAACAGCAGATCAAAAACTGGGAATACTGTAGCAATTAACTCGCCTTGTGACTCCCAAAGCCTGTCCACCATCTTCAAGTGTGACGATACTATGGCTTTAAGAGGTGTATTTTATCCTTTTTTTTAAGAAAAAGGTTGAGACATAGACAACAAGCAGCCTGCTCCAACACCAATAAAGTAAACAGCTTGTGAAGCCTTAGGCTTTTTTTTAAAAGTTGGAACAACAGAAGCAGCCTGAATGGGTGTGGTCAAGCTTCCACAGAACCAGGGTTTTTAGTTTTAGTTTTTCAGCGGCAGTTGCTACAGGGGTGTTGAAGCTGGGTTTGGAAGCTGCAGTATGTCTCTCCCTGCTACACTGTCTCTCAGAGTTTTCTCTTAATGTTTTTGCTTCCTGGACTGGACAATTGCATGTGAGACAATCTATCTTACTGAATTTGCCTTTGCCAAGAGTGTGTTTATGGGATGTTTCTATATTGGAACAGTTACTGTTTAATAGTTAAATAATCTATGATTCTGTTAAGTTTTCCAATAGAGTTGTTATTTCAATTCTTTCCTGTGTTGTATTTTAACAATAGTGTATGAATAAGAGATAGTAGGAATTGCCGATGCTGGAGAATCTGAGATAACAAGGTGTAGAGCAGGGTGAACACTGGAGGCCAGGCCAATTTTCTGAAGAAGGATCCAGACCCAAAACGTCAGCTTTCCTGCTCCTCTGATGCTGCCTGGCCTGCTGTGTTCATCCAGCTCCACATCTTGTTATCTCAGTGTATGAATAAAGCATGTTTAGTTTCAAATAGTTTGACCAATCGAATTGCATCTGGAACGCAATGCCTGGCACTTGCCTTTAAAATAAGGAAGTGTTAGGGTCTAGGCTATCTTCTTTGTATATTTTGAGGGGTTCATAACATAAGACACAAGTCAGGAGTATGATGGAATACTCCCCACATACCTAGATGAGAGCAGCTCCAACAACACTCAAGAAACTTGACACCATCCAGGACAAAGCAGCCCACTTGACTGGCACCACATCCACAAGCATCCACTCCCTCCACCACCGACGCTCAGTAGCAGCAGTGTGTACTATCTACAGGATGCACTGCAGAAATTCACCAAAGATCCTCAGACAGCACCTTCCAAACCCACGACCACTTCCATTTAGAAGGACAAGGGCAGCACATACGTGGGAACACCACCCCCTGCAAGTTCCCCTCCAAGCCTCTCATCCTGATTTGGAAGTAAATTGCCATTCCTTCACTGTTGCTGGGTCAAAATCCTGGAATTCCCTCCCTAAGGGACATTGTGGGTCAACCCACAGCAGACGGACTGCAACAGTTCAAGAAGGCAGCTCACCCCCACCTTCTCAAGGGCAACTAGGGACGGGAAATAAATGCTGGCCCAGCTAGTGACACTCACGTCCCACAAATAAATAAAACAAAACTGCTGGCCCCCTTTATAACAGTCATTATTTGAACCGGTATATTAATGTGTTTCTGTCATTGCCTTCCTTTTTAACTGCAGATGCTTGCTCAGAAGTCTGGCCATATCATCAATATGAGCTCGGTTGCATCCAGTATCAAAGGTAAATGATTTAGCACTATCACTAGATCTCTCACATTGACAAAACCCGCTCAGAATACAGAACAGGCAGCCTTCCTGAGAAGTTCTGTCTTCATGTTTTCCTCAAATGCATCACTTCTTATGTGCACCTTTTGATTTGGCTGCTTTTTGCCGTGTAATACTGCAACAGTTGATTGTTCAGCATTTTATTGCCCCCTAGCCTATCACAACCAAGTCTATGTCACCCGTTTCACTGCAATTGCTGACCTACATTGGTTCCCAAAGTGGGGTCACAATCGTAACTGGGGTGATATCTGATATCGCAGGCTCCATAGTAACAGTGGCCAACCCACCCTTCCCTGTGCTCTAATGATTCCTTCCCCTCCCCCATCACTCACTAAGGAATCACAACAGTTTACAAGCCTCAAAATGGGATCACAGCGAGGAGAAGGTTTGGGAAACACTGACTTAGAGTTGCAGTTTTAAAATTCTAATTCCTGTGTTTAAATTTCTTAATGCCTCCTCCCATTCCCTATTCCTGTAATCTCCTACAATCCCCAAAATTCCCTAGTTCTCTAATTCTGACCTTTTCTGCAAGCCCTCTCTAGCCGAACAGCCTTTGGAAGCCATACGTTATCCTCTGATGTTTTTTCTACCCTAGATCTCTCTGCTTACTTAAAACCCTCCATGAATACATACATCTTTGAGCAGGCTTTCCATCAGCCCTACTGACATCTTCTTGTTCGACTTTGTGCTTTTTTTTTCAGCTGTACATCTATGAAGTATCTTGGTACATTTTTCTATATTAAATACATATAATACAATGTAGAAATACAATCTTCAGTGAACTGATTCTCTCCATGTGACATATTTAACATTTGAAGTCTAAACAATCACAATTCTCCTCCCATAATCCCACAATCTTTTTAATTTTACAATATGACCCTGCAAATGAGTGAGTCTGTGTTTAGTAGATCAGTGAGCAAAAATGCATTTTAGAGAGATGCACTGTGAGAAATTTGTTTAGTTGTGATATGTGATTTAATTGCATGAACACTTAATGTCTGTGTAACTGGAAAAAATAATATTGCTTAGATGACACATTTTGACCTGATGAGGAGAGTGTTAATTGGAAGATTTCAATGTCTGCATATATTTTGTCTTTTTATTTGATAAAATCGGTTTCTGTTGTTAAATATGTTGATACTGATGATTACATAGGTCCAGCAAACTATATGTGGAATGTTAGATTGGATTCAAAGTCTAGTGGTGAATTAGATTTCTCATGATACATTGGAATGTCCTTAAAGCAAAGAACTGTGGATCCTGGGGATCTAAAACAAACAAAAGCAGAAATTGCTAGAGAAACACAGCAGGCCTGACACATTTATGGACAGAAAACAGCTGTTTCGAGTTGAAACATTAATACTGTTTCTCTCTCCAATAATGCTGCCAGACCTGCTGAGTTGCTCCAATAATTTCTGTTTGCATATTTTCGAATATCCCGTATTGGTTGAGGGATTTTTCAATTTAAACTTACTTTTGATGGAACTGACTATGCGAATTATGTTTTTCAATATGTGAATATACAAACAGGGAACGCTCGCAATGTTAAAAGTTCTTTTTTAAATACTTCTAGAAACACCAGCTATTTTTAGATTTCTGTATAGCTTTCTCTTGTGCTGTAATATTTCCCTTCTTGCTGTTTATTTTTTTCTCATTCTCTGCTTTTTTTTAACATTCTGACCAATTTTCTGAGTTGCCAGCTTGCACAATTATATGACTTTTCTGTAACAAAAACAAAGTTGCTAGAAAAGCTCAGCAGGTCTGGCAGCATCTGTGAAGGAAAAAACAGAGTTCACGTTTCGGGTCCGGTGACCCTTCCTCAGAACTCACCCCACCCGAAACGTTAACTCTGATTTTTCCTTCACAGATGCTGCCAGACCTGCTGAGCTTTTCCAGCAACTTCGTTTTTGTTCCTGATTTACAACATCCGCAGTTCTTTCGGTCTTTATTTTGACTTTTCTGTCAGCTTGATACTACATTTGCTTCTTTTTATTTAGCCACAGCCGATCTGTGTACTCTGAAACCTCCCCTTAAATGTTTGTCACTAAATCTCTATTGACCTACCGTTTAACCTAGTTTGCCAATTCACAGTAGCCAGTCTGCTTTCATGTTGTCATTATTGACCTTAACTAAGTTTTAAAATAGAGTTTCAACCCTACTTCACTCTCTCAAACTGAATGTAAAATTCGATCACATTGTGATCACTGCTCCCTAACCGTATTCCAGGAATAGCCAAAGGCTAATGTGCATTGGTTATGTTTTGCAAATTGTTGTGTGGATTTTTTTGAGAGAGAGTTATTCTGTTAAACCTCTTCATGTATTCCTTCCAGGTGTTGTAAACAGATGTGCGTACAGCTCCTCCAAGGCAGCTGTTATTGGATTGACCAAGTCTGTTGCTGCAGATTTCATTGAACAAGGCATCGTTTGCAACTGTGTATGTCCAGGTAATCATGAAGTTTTTTTTCTCATTTTGTCAAATGAATCCTGGTTATAAAACATTGCCTGCCTTCATAGCAACATGACATAAGTATAACATTCCTATTCCTTGCATTTGTACAATAATACCTAGCAAGCCTTATGTCTTTGAATATAAGAAAGCATCTTAACAGGAGCCAAATTATCTTTTAAATTTAAGGAACTGTGCAGATAGACTTGTTACACTAAATTTTCTACGTATTAACGCAAATTTCATGTAGAAAATACAGTGTTTCACAAGGGTGGAGAATGACGAAACAAGAACCAGGATGAGAATTAAGGAAAGCAACTTACATTTAATCAAAGAAGTAGGTTTTGAGAAAGTGTTTGAAGGTGTGGAGATGAGTAGGTGAAATTGCCTTTGCAGTGTTGGTTCAACCCCATAAGCTCACTTATGTGATAATTTGATTCCAAGATGCATTAAAAAAAAGGATGAATTCCAGGAACTATAGTTAACTTAATCAGCGATAGAAAAGACAGTGGAATTGTTATTCAAAGATTGAGAAACATCTGGAAACTGAAAATATATTAAAGACTAACCAGCACAGATGATAAAAGGGATGCTTTCATTGTTCATGCTTGATGAACCTTTTTGAATAGTTTAAAGAAGTGAAAGAAAAAGTAAATCAATACCATAATTGTAATATATTTGAATTTCTGAAAGGGAAAGTGACAAAAACATAATGGAGAAAAGAGAAGAAAGAGATATTGATGGGGTGGGGTAAGGTGAGGAAGTGTGTATGGTGGGGAGGGGAGGGGAGGATAGTTCCTGTGGAACATAAACACTAATGCAGGCTGGTTGAGCCACTAGCCTGTTCCTTGTAAATTATGTAATTCTAGTAAGTGGAATGCTGTTTACCAACTGTCAATACAGGCTTCATTTTCAGCACTTATACAAAGTATTCTTATTGCAAAATTAAATGTTCCAAATACATGGTGATTTTGCATAAAGTTTTACATTGTTTTTGTTTCCAAGGTACTGTGGACACACCATCCCTGAGAGAGAGAATCCAAGCAAGGCCAAATCCTCAACAGGTAGATGTATAGGAGCTATTCCTACTGTAGCCCATCCTAGCTTTAATGGGCTCTAATTAGGTAGCTCTATCTTTAATTCATGGTACTTTAGAAGGAGGTTTAGCCTTTGACAGGTTAAAATTGCAGAAGTAGTGTGAGAGAATAAGTGATGAACATTGCCTTACTAATAATGACGTGTGATAGAAGACATAAATTCAGGCGGGTTGGCTATAGAGATGAGATCAACACTGGCATCTACCCAACAATGTGGAAAATTGGCTAGATATGTCCTATACACAAAAAGCAGAACAAATCCAACCCAGCCAATTCCCACTCCATTGGTCTTCTCTTGATGATCAGTAAAGTGATGGAAGGTGTCAGTAACAGTGCTATCAAGCAGCACCTGCTCAGCATTAACCTGCTCAGTGATGCCTCGTTTGGGTTCTGCCAGGGCCACTCAGCTCCTGACCTCATTACAGGCTTAGTTCAAACATGGACAGAACACTGAATTCCAGAGGTGAGGCGAGAGTGACAGCCCTTGTTGTCAAGGCTACATTCAACCAAGTGGGGCATCAAGGAGCCTGAGCAAAACTGGACTCAATGGGTATCAGGGAGCAAATGTTATGCTGATTGGAGTCATACCTAGCATGTAGGATGATGGTCATAGTTGTTGGAGGTCAATCATCACAGCTTCAAGATATCTCTGCAGAAGTTCCTCAGGGTAGTGTCCTAGGCCGAGCCATTTTAGCTGCTTCATCAATGGACTTCCCTCCATCATAAGGTCAGAAGTGGGGATGCTCACCGATGATTGCACAATGTTCAGCACTATTTGTGACTCCTCAGACACTAAAGCAGTCCGTGTTCAAATGTAGCAAGATCTGGACAATATCCAGGCTTCGGCTGACAAATGGCAAATAACATTCGCACTACACAAATATCATGCAATGACCATCTCCAGTAAGAGACCATCTAACCACTGTTCCTTGACTTTTAATGATGTCACCATCACAGAATCCCCCACTATCAACTAGTTGGGGGTTTGGGCTGGGGCCTCAAGTTTCTACAAGTTAAATCAATCACTTAAATGAGGGGAGTGAAAGCACGGTGACTAAATTCACAGCAAACACCTCTATAGGTTGGAAAGAATGTTGTGAAAAAGACAAAAGGAAATTGCAGACTTCATATAGATAGGTTGAGTCAGGGGGCGAAAATCTCGCAGATGAAGTATGACGTGGGAAAACGTGACAGTGTTCACTTTGTTAGCAAAAATGAGAAAGCAAAGATTTACTTAAACAAAGAACAACTGCAGAATTCCAAAGTGCAGAAGATTTAGGCATTTTGGTTCAGAATGTAATCAAGAAGATTAATTGATGCTATACTTTATTACAGGAGAAATTGAACATAAATTTAAAGATATTATGTTTTAGTTACATAGGGAATTGGTGAGTGTGCATCTCAAATACTGGGTACAGTTTTTGCTCTCTTTATCTAACGAAGGATGTAAATGCATTGGACTGGGCCCAGAGGAGGTTTACTCAATCAATAACAATCAAGAACAGAAATTGCTGGAGAAACTCATCAGGTCTGACACCATCCCTGGAAAGAGAAATGGAGTTAATATTTTGAGTCCAGTGACCTTTCTTCAGAACTGGACTGGAGAACTGGATCAGTTCCTGGACTTGAAGCATAAACTCTGCTTTTCTCTCCACAGATCTGCCAGATATGCTGAGTTTCTCCAGCAGTTTCTGTTTTTGTTTCGTATCTGTAGCATCTGCAGTTCTTTGTTTTATTATATTACTATATCAATACTACATACAAAGGTGTGGAATCCTCTTCTTCAAATGGCAGTGGGTGCATGATCAATTGTTAATTTTAAATCTGAGGTAGATACATTTTTGTTAAACAAAGGTATTACGGCTTATGGACCAAATGCAGATATATGGAGTTAGGCCACAGATCAGCTATGATCTCATTGAATATTGGAATAGGTCTGAGGGACTGAATGGCCTACTCCTGTTTCTATGGTTCTGGGAATGAGTGGGTTGTCTTATGAGAAAAGGTTGGACAGACAGGGTTTATTTCCACTGGAGTTTAGAAAGTGAGGGGTGACTTACTTGAAGCATATAAGATCGTAAATGGTCTTGGCATGGTGGGTGAGGAAAGGATGTTTCCTCCCCACAGATCCTTTAAAATTAGGGGTTGGCCTTTTAGGACAGAGATGAGGAGAAAGCTTTTCTCTCAAAGGGTGTGAGTTCAGAATTGTCAGCCTCAGAAGGTGGTGGAGGTGTGGGGGCATTGAATAATTTATAGACAAAGATGAATAGATTCTTATTAAGTAGAACAATCAACATTATTGGGAGTAACTAGAAATACAAACAGATCAGCTGTGATTTTATAACCACAGAGAAACCGCATTCTCTACTTCTGCTCCGAATTCATTGGCTGAGGAGAGAGGAAGTATGTGGACATAAGGTCATGAACCAGGTGGGTGTTTACAACAATGGTTTCATGGTCACCACTGGACAAGATTCATAGAGTCAGAGAGTCATACAGCATGGAAATAGACCCTTCAGTCCAACCAGTCCATGCCGAACATAATCCTGACCTAAACTAGTCTCAGTTTCAGATTTATAAATGGAATTTAAATTCACCAGCTGCTGTGATAGGATTTCAATCCATGTCCCTAGAGCATTAGCCTGGCCTCAGGAGTATTGATCCAGTGCCATTACCACCATTCCACCACCAGATAACCAAGGCCTCAAACTCAGTACTAACTCAGTGCTTACAGGGCAGTAATGAGCAGATTGTTGCTGAGCAGGTTCTACTTGTTATCACTGTTGATGACACCTTCCATCACTTACTGATGACCAAGAGTAGACTGATGGGACAGAAATTGGCCGGGTTGGATTTGTCCTGCTTTTTGTGTACAGGATGTACCTGGCAATGTTCTACATTGTGTTGTAACGGTACTAGAACAGCTTGGCTAGGGTAACAGCAAGTTCTGGAGCACAAGTCTTCAGTATTATTGCCAGAATGTTGTCAGGGCCCATAGCCTTTGCAGTATCCAGTGTCTCCAACAGATTCTTGATATCACATGGAATGAATCGAATTGGCTGAAGACTGGTATCTGTATCTGTGATGCTGGGACCACTGGAGGAGACTCAGGACACTTCCTGATCTTCTCACCATAGTCCTGAATCTTCCTATGTTTGATTTATCCACTTTTCATTTTAAAGATACAGTCATCTCTTCAACTAGCTCTGTGGCAATGTTTTCTTGCCCTGTAGTAATTTTTTTATATATTGAAGTCTATTCATGGTTCTTACTTTTGATCAGTTTTGAATATTCATTACCACTGAAAATGTTCCCATTTTGAGTAAATCCATCTACAGTGACAAGACTTCTTTGTGGTTTTTATGCAACATTAAATATATTTAACACCAGGCTTTTTCCTCGTACCCAGGCTTTGAAAGATTTCCTGGACAGGCAGAAGGCAGGTCGAATGGCCACTGCTGAGGAGGTTGCTCACCTTTGTGTATATCTGGCATCTGATGAAGTATGTAGCAAACCAGTGACTTAAAAAGCTCAGAGTATTTATTTACAGATGTATAACATACCCTGAAAATGTAGATTCTGTAATGTCACTGGAATGAGGAAGTGGCTGTGATGGCTGTTTAGAATAAATGTGAAAATTCCATATTCTGAAGTTCAGAAAACCTTAGGCTGGAAGACCAAAAATCTCTGGGTGCTATCCTGGTGGAAAATTCCACCCAGTGATTTCTAGTTTAAGATAATTGACTTTAAAGCATAAATCAGCAATCATTTAGACTTTGTGAAACCGTAGGGGCATTTGTACACAATCAGGAGTTGTCAATGCAACTGCATCTTTAGGATTTACCAATGAATGAGGCACTAGGAAGAGCCCTATCAAAACCTTCAGGTCCACACATTCGAACAACTTAATGAAAACCATAAGAACAAAGGGCTGATTAGCCTAAGCTTTGAGAGCCAGTTTGGGTATTGGACCCCATGCTGGAGGTCTCTTGTTAAAAGCAACGTGAACAGAATTATTTTTATGACTGGATGATACCTTTAGTGTTGCACAGAGTCAAGACCAAGCGCAGCATTCAGGTCATACCGAATTAAGGACTGGTGGTGAATGTCAGTTCCAAATTATAAGGCAGTTTTGTTTATTTGTCTTTACAGTCAGCCTATGTCACTGGAAAAGAATTTATCATCGATGGAGGATGGAGCTTATGAATATTATATTGCCATGAATGGTGAATAATGCAATGATCTCAATCACCAAAACCAGTTTGTGGTTTGGTTATGACATAAACTGGAGGTGGTATTCTTTCAATTATGAATGGACGACTTGTAATTTTCAGTTCTGTAAATTTGATATTGATTTTTTTTTTCAACGTCACTCCCCATGTAGGGCCTATTTCAGTGTACTGTAGTTTAACCAATTGCCTACTACTTGCCAAAAATGTATCTCCCTGATGAAACTTTCCAAATCAGATTGCACCATTGGAAGCTTGCATTTATAAAATCAGCCATTCAGGAATAATACAGCACTGAAGGAGGCCATTCAGCCTATGTGGCTGTGCTGGCTCTGAAAAAACAATCCAGTTGGTGCCACTCCCCCGTCTTTGCCCCACTCCAACTAGTTGTCAAAGTTGTTGTTGCTCAATCTGCTTCCATCACCCTTTTGGAGTGTTCATTTCAGAGCTTAGCAACTTGCTGCATAAAAGATGTTTGTTTCCCATCTTGTCTCTGCTTCAGTGCCAGTGCTTTTAGTCTGTGGCTCCTGATTATCAAGCTTTATTCACCTCATTGTTTTATCTCAAATCTCCTCTCAACCTTCTGTGTTGTAAGGACAGTAACCCTACTTTCTCCTGCTTTTCCACATAACTGAATATGTTCACCTGGATGCATTCTACTCAATTTCCTTTGCACTATTTCTAAGGCCTTGACATCCCGTGGTGCCCAGAAATGATGTAAATGCACCACTCGGCAAGAAAAGACTTACATTTATATAGCACCTTTCCGGACCACTGGACATTGCAAACTTGCTCCAACCAATAAAGTACTTTTTTTTAATGAAGTAGAGTCACTGTTGTAATGTGGGACATACACCAATCAATTTGATCATAGCAAGATCCTGTAAACAGCCATGTGACACTGACCAGGAGATTATAGCAATAGAATCATTATGTGATTTTGATTGATGGATAAATATTGACCATGACGCCTTGGAGATCTCCCCTGTTCTTTTCTGAAATAGTGCAATAAGATCTTATTAATCCACCTGTGATATGAGGCTGAGCCTCAGTTCGATAGGTTACCCAAAAAGCTGATCTCGACACATTACAGCACACCTTCCATACTGAACTGATGTGACAGCTTTGCTTTTGTGCTCAAGTCCTGAAGTGGAACCTGAACCTTTAAAGTGCTGTTAATTGAGCCTGAGCTAACACTTAAAAGGTGTATTGTAAGACTGTGCCAACAATCTCCACAGTTTCCACTTGTACGCCCCTTAAATAAACCAAGGATGCATCCCATTCAGACCAGGCAGCTTGTACTGTGACCTTGATCGTAATCCCTTCTGTAATATTGCTGAAAAAGACACATTTGATCAAAGGCACATTGGTTGTCAGTTAGGCTGGCAATGTGACATACCCACATGTGTTGAAAGCTACTTATATCAATACTCAGAACCCTCTTCTTTACAGACAGAAAGAACACATCCACACATTGCACCTGTTTAGATTCAATAAAATAGGTGACTGGTTCATTTCTTGGAGCAATGCTTGAACTAATCAGAGGCAACCTAACCCTAACCCAACCTTCCTGGTTTAAAATTTAAACAAAATTTGGCAGTTAACTATCAGTTAATAATTGGTGCATTCTCCATGCAATGCATTTACCAATCAAAGTCTACTAGCCAACCAATCAGCATTCTCTTCTCATACAGTATGTTTGTTTTCCCTTTTATTGGTATTTCTTCCATATTGTCCTGATGAACGCAAAATGAAAAGCTTTTACAAAATGTGCCTTTTCTCAGCAATACTTAATTCTGTACCATCAAACGACTATCCCCTTCTTTAGTGAATATAAATAAAAATATATCATTATTACATCATCTAACACTTCACACAAGATTATTTCCTTTTCGTCCCTAATTAACTAGACCCATCCATGTTTATAAGAGAGTTTTGAATTATGTTCTCTTCATTCTCTTTGGCTGTCATTTCCTTTTTCACCTTTTCCCTGTTTCTTTGACATTTATTATAAGTTTTGCCTTTTTTTGTTTCACTCTTTGGCATGGGTATTCCAATGATCAGACATTTAGTTCAACGTTATAGATTCAACTTGCACACAGGGACCATGCAGAAACCCTGACATAGCTAACTCTGATAGAATTGTCTGAGAAACTGAGAATTACAATGTGAAATTCCCCTGAATATGGATCCCACCAAAAAAAGCCCATTAAAGTTGGAGAGTTTTGGGACGTTCTGATATAATGTAGCCAGGAGAGGTTAGAAGATCAAAGAATCTACTCTAACTCTTGGGAAACTATTAAACTGAACTGCTAAGTCGGCATTAATGAACTTTCCTCCCTTCTCAATCTATATCCAGGTAACTGTAGCCCCTCAATATCATTACTGTAAAGACTGTACATTTTTCTGTGCTTTAATCCTCTCAGCTGAAGTCCAGTTCTGGGTGCCACACTTTAGGAAGGATGTGAGTGGTAGTAGAAAGGATGCAGAAAGACTCATGATGATCATTCCAGGACTGAGGAGCTTCAATTACGAAGATAGATTCGAAACATTGGGACGGTTTTTCTTGGTGAAGGGGGAGAGATAATTTGATGGAGAGGTCTGAACAGAGGAAATAGAAAGAAACTGTTTCCACTTATGAAACAATCAGGAGCAAAAGGGACCAGATTGAAAGGTAATTGGCAAAGGAAGTGGATCAACACAAGGAAAACCTTGTTCACGCAATGAGTGGTAAGGAACTAGAATGCATCGCTGAGGCAGGTTCAATCAAAGATGAAAAGGATTTTACACAGTTATAGGGAGCTTTTGCAGAGGTGATGAACAGTTTGTGTGATCAAATTCCCACTCTTGGTAGGTCTGTAGTATACATTAGCAGTATATATAGTCATCTATTGTCTCTTAATTCAAAACAATACATTCTGTCTTTGACCCCTCAGATGCATTATCATTTTTTAGCACTGCAACTATATCTTTGATCAAAACTGCCAAACCCTCTCCTTTACATTCTATATCGTTCCTGCATATATTATAGTTAGGGTGATTTCTCTTCGAGTCAGGCCCTGTTTGTAATCCCCTGTGACAAGATGCACCTTTAGTAATCAGTCATATTTACCATACTCCATGTGTTTACGCTCACATGCTGCCCAATCTTCAGAAATGGTCTAGGCCCGAAACGTCAGCCTTCCTGCTCCTCTAATGCTGTTTGGCCTGCTGTGTTCATCCAGCTCTACACCTTGTTATCTCAGATTCTCCAGCATCTGCAGTTCCTACTATCTCTGCTGCCCAATCTTGATCTCTTTCGCCTTTGGCTGATCTTTCCTACTTTATTGCTGTTCTCCCCTCCAATCTTCTGTGCACGTCCTTACTAATGCTTTAACTCAGTGCCCCCTTCCCATTGTTTCTTTATCTAAAGTCTTTATCACAGAATTAGTTAACCATTGTATGTCAACATTGATCCAGTCCTATCGAGGTGCAAGAACATCCCCACTGCTCCTGACTGGTTCCAATCGGAAGTTCTCCATCCTGCTGCATTTTCCACAAATCTCCCTTAACTCCTGTTCCCATATTCAGGAGCTGTAACTGTTTTTCTAAAGGTCATTGGTTATAATGTTAACCATATATCATGGGTGTTAATGTATAGAATCATAGAATCCCTACAGTGTGGAAACAGGCCCTTCGGCCCAACAGGTCCACACCGACCTATCCCCCTAATCTACACATCCCTGAACACCTGTTGGCAATTTTGTGTAAAATATAAGTAAGCATCTTGGCAATGTGTCAGTGACCAAGATAATTTGAGCAGACTCGGCCTTATTGCTCTGGAGAAGATCTTTAAAATTATGAAGTAATTTGATAAATTACAGTTTCTGCTTGTGAAAAAATCTGGGATGAGAGGGAATAAATAAAAGACAACTGCTACTACTTTAGTGTTCCTGCTTGCTAATTTCCCAACGAGCTCCCTGAATTCTATCTGCAACATCCCTCTTTCTACATGTCACTCTGATTCTGCTTTGACCCACTGTTGCCTCCCAAACCCAGTCATCTCTCTGTCAAATAAATGACAGGCCCCAAACCTAGGCCTCAATTTATTTTCATCCTTATGCTCCCGGATCCATGCCAGCTCTTGATTAACAACTCAAAGATGTTTTATCTTTGTCTATTCCTGCAGATTGCAAAGGTTGCTCATTACATGCTAATGTCTCTCCAATAAGAAGAAATATATTGTTCAGGTTAAAAGTTAGTATTCGAATTTATTTATAAAAAATATAAACACATACAAATATATACACATAAACTAATCACCTATCAAGATGATTAGTATTTTTTCCTCCACCAACAGTACAATCAGTTTTACTAGTCACATTCAATGAAATGTGACAGTATATTACTGGCCATTCCACTGGACTCAGATTACTCTCAATCCCTCATTTATTTATCCAACAACATGGTTCCAAGATATCCTGAGAATAAGGTAAGTACTTACAAGTTTGCATCCATTTAGCATTTCAAAAGATATAACGAACTAATGAATCTATTTTATGGAGGGCAGATGATGGCCCAGTGGTATTATCGGTAGATTATTAATCCAGAAACTCAGCTACTAGTCTGGGGACATGGGCGGATGGTGGAATTTGAATTCAATAAAATACCTGGAATTAAAAGTCTAATGATGATCATGAAACCCATCTGGTTCACTAATGTCCTTTAGGGAAGAAAATCTGCCACCTTCACCTGGTCTGGCCTACATGTGACTCCAGACCTAAAGCAATGTGGTTGACTCTTAACTGTCCTTTGGGCAATCAGAAATGGGTGATAAATGCCTATATCCCATGAATGAATAAACAAAAGAGAAACCATTGCCAATTTTCAAAAAAAAACTCATCTGGTTCTCTAATGTTCTTCAGGAAGGAAATCTTCCGTCCTTACCTGGTCTGTCCTACATGTGACACCAGACCCACAGCAATGTGGTTGACTCTCAACTCAGAAAGGACCTAACAGTAACTTAGTTGTATCAATCTCTATGAAGTATCAACAAAAAAACTAAACTAGATGTACCAAGGCATCGGAAAAAACAACAGCAGAAACTACCCTGTCAACCCTGCAAAGTCCTCCTCACTAATGTCTGGAGGCTAGTGCCAAAATTTGGAGATCTGACTGTCACACTAGTTAAGCAACATCCTGACATTGTCGTACTAACCTTACAATGTCCCAGACACCACCATTATCAACCCTTAACAGACCCAGCAGAGGTGGCAGCACAGTGGTAACAGTCGAGAGGAAGTTGCCCTGGGAGTCCTCAACATTGACTCCGGACCCCATGAAGTCCTATGGCTTCAGGTTAAACATGGACAAGGAAGCCTCCTGCTTCCTCTCTCAGTTGATGAATTGGTACTCCTCCATGTTGAGCAACACTTAGAGGAAGCACTGGGGATAGCAAGGGCACAGAATGTACTCTGGGTGGGTGATGTCGATGTCCACCACCAAGAGTGGCTCAGCAGCAGTACTACTGGTCGAGCTCGTCGGGTCCTAAAGGACATAGCTGCTAGACTGGGTCTACAGAGGTGGTGAGGCAACCAACAAGAGGGAAAAACATACTTGACCTCATCCTTACCAACCTGCCAGCTGCAGATGTATCTGTCCATGACAGCACAGTCCTTGTGGAAATAAAGTCCTGCTTTCACATTGAGAATAAACTCCATCATGTTGTGTGGCACTATCATCGTGCTAAATGGTGATAGACTTTGAACAGATCTGGTAACTCAAGACTGGGCATCCATGAGGCACAGTGGGCCATCAATAGCAACAGAATTGTACTTCAGCACATTCTGTAACGTTATGGCCTGGCATATCCCCCACTCAACCATTACCATCAAGCCAGGGGATCAACACTGGTTCAATGACAGTGCACATCCAGTCGTGAATGGTGGTGGACAATTTACCAACTCACTGGAGGAGGAGGCTCCACAAATATCCCCGTCCTCAATGATGGAAGAGCCCAACACATCAGTGCAAAAGATAAGGCTGAAGCATTTGCAGCAATCTTCAGCCAGAAGCGCCAAGTGGATGATCCATCTTGGCCTCCTCCAGTGGTCCCCAGCATTACACATACCAGTCTTCAGCCAATTCGATTCACTCCACGTGATATCAAGAAACGGTTGGAGACACTGGATACAGCAAAGATTACCGGCCCTGACAACATTCCGGCAATAGTACTGAAAACTTGTGCTCCAGAACTTGCTGCTCCCCTAGCCAAGCTTTCCCCGTCCAGCTATAACACTAGTACCTACCTGACAATGTGGAAAATTGCCCAAGTATGTCCTGTACACAAAAACAGGACAAATCCAACCTGGCCAATTACTGCCCCATCAGTCTACTCTCAATCATCAGTAAATTAGATTCGATTAGATTCCTTACAGTGTGGAAACAGGCCCTTCAGCCCAACAAGTACACACCGACCCTCAGAGCATCCCACCCAGACCAATTCCCCATTACCCACCTAACCTACACATCTCTGAACACTACGGGCAATTTAGCATGGCCAATCCACCTAGCCTGCACATCTTTGGACGGTGGGAGGAAACTGGAGCACCCGGAGGAAACCCACGCAGACACGGGGAGAATGTGCAAACTCCACACAGACAGTCACCCGAGGGTGGATTCAAACCCGAGTTCCTGGTGCTGTGAGGCAGCAATACTAACCACTGAGCCATTGTGCAGCCTTGAAAGTGATAACCACTGGCACAATGGAAACGAAGCGTGGATGCACTGTGCTATCTCACATCGTATATTGGTTTGTAACAAAATTTTACATTTTGTTGCATTCAACTTAAACATAACTCATCCCTACCAAGCTCCAGCGTAACAGCCAACCAACAGAACAAGCTATCAACACAAGTAGCATCTGCTTAGTAATAACCTGCTGAGTGATGCCCTGTTTGGGTTCTGCCAGGGCCACTCAGCTCCTGACCTCATTACAGCCTTGGTTCAAACATGGACAAAAGAGCTGCATTCCAGAGGTGAGGTGAGAGTGACAGCCCTTGATATCAAGGCTGCTTTCGACCGAGTGTGGCATCAAGGAGCCCTAGCAAAACTGGAATCAATGGGTATCAGGGGGCAAACTCTCCGGTAGTTGGAATCATACCTGACTCATAGGAAGATGGTCATGGTTGTGGGAGGTCAGTCATCTCACTCCAAGACATCTCCGCAGGAGTTCCTCAGGGTAGTGTCCTAGGCCCAACCATCTTCAGCTGCTTCATCAATGACCTTCCCTCCATCATAAGGTCAGAAGTAGGGGATGTTCACCGATGATTGCACTATGTTCAGCACTATTTGTGACTCCTCAGATACTGAAGCAGTCCATGTTCACATGCAACAAGATCTGGACAATACCCAGGCTTGGGCTGACAAGCGGCAAGTGACATTCGCGCCACACAAATGCCAGGCAATGACCATCACCAATAAGAGACAATCTAACCACCGCCCCTTCACATTCAATGGTGTTACCATCACTGAATCCCCCACTATCAACATCCTGTGTGTTATCATTGACCAGAAACTCAACTGGACTCACCACATTAACATAGTGGCTACAAGAGCAGGTCAAAGGCTGGGAATCCCGCAGTGAGTACCTCACCTCCTGACTCCTCAAAACCTGTCCACCATCTACAAGGCACAAGTTAGGAGTGTGATGGAATACTCCCCACTTGCCTGGATGAGTGCAGCCCCAACAACACTCAAGAAGCTTGACGCCATCCAAGTCAAAACAGCCTGCTTGATTGACACTACATCCACAAACATCCATTCCCTCCACCACCGACGCTGAGTAGCAGCAGTGTGTACTACCTACAAGATGCCCTGCAGAAATTCACCAAAGATCCTCAGACAGCACCTTCCAAACCCATGACCACTTCCATCTAAAAGAACAAGAGCAGCAGATATATGGGAACACCACCCCCTCCAAGTCACTTACCATCCTACATGGAAATATATCACCGTTTCTTCACTGTTGCTGGGTCAAAATCCTGGAATTCCCTCCCTAAGGGCATTGTGGGTCAATCTACAGCAGGTGGACTGCAGCAGTTCAAGAAGGCAGCTCACCACCACCTTCTCACAGGCAACTAGGGATGGGCAAGAAATGCTGGGTCCAGCCAGCAATGCCCACATCCCACAAATGAATAGAAAAAAAAATGCTCTCATGATGGTTATTCAGTAAGTGGCTACAGAACAGGCACAGGAATAAAAGGGTGCATTGAGAAAAAGGAAGGGGCATGGGTATTGTTAGGGGCTAGAGCGCCTAACAGTTTTGATAAAGAATTCGAGACAAAGTTCCAGAGAACTGAGGTGTGTTTCCTAACCATCCCATCTTGGCACTCGTCCACTTGGCTTCCTGCAATATGCTTCTGGAGTCAGTGACTATACTCCAGCCCTATATCACTAGAACAGAAGGGGGAGCAAATTACTGGAATCTGTCCCGAAAACAACAAATGCTGGAGATCACAGCGAGTCAGGTAGCATCCATGGAGAGAAAGCAATCTGATATTTCTAGTCTAGGTGCCTCTTCATCAGAGATAATATGATGAAAAGTCATCTAGACTAGAAATGTTACCTTGCTCTCTCTCCATGGACGTTACTTGTGGGCTGGGGGGTGGGGGTTGGCCTTAAAACTAAGGTGCAGAAAGAAATTTTACAGTTTGACTTATATGCACCAGTAGTAAAAATCCAGTTTATGAAACTCATAAGGACTAGTCAGGCAGATGCTGGGACACTGGCTGAAGGCTGGGGAGTCTCAGAATGAGATGTAAGCCATTTACTGTCCTTTAGGGAAGGAAACTACTGTCCTTCCTTGGTCTGGCCTATATGTGAATATTAAAACCTGTTCCAGAATACAGCTAACATTAGATAGCAGAACAGGAGCAGGAGAAATAGAAATAATTGTGGGAGAGTTATATCATATGTGTCTAAACATCCAGGCTACTGCCATTTGTTCAATTTGTGCTTATACTCTCTGGAGCTTAGAAGAATGCAAGGAAATCTAATTGAGATATACAAGATGCTAAACGAATTGACAAAGTAAATGTAGGAAGAATGTTTCCACATGTGGGGACATGAGAATGAGAGGTTTTACACTAAGGGGTGGCAGATTTAGAGATGTGGAAAAATTATTTCTCTCAAAGGGTCGTGAATCTGTGGAATTCACTCCTCCAGAGTGCACAAGATGCTGGGGCATTGAGTAACTTCGTCATGTCATAGAATCCCTACAGTGTGGAAACAGGCCATTTGGCCCAACAAGTCCACACCAACTATCTGAAGGTTATCCCAACCAGACTCAGCCCCCTGCCCTATCCCTCCATTTCCCATGACTAATCCACCTAACATACATATCTCTGGCCTATGGGAGGAAACTGGATCACCTAGTCAAAGCCCACACAGACACAGGGAGAATGTACAAACTCCACACAGATAGTCACCCAAGGCTGGAATTGAACGCGAATCCACCTGGTGCTGTGAGGTAGCAGTGCTAACCACTGAGCTGCCATAATGGGTGAAGAGTTATGGTGAACAGGCAGGAAAGTGGAATTGAGGCTGAGATCAGCCATGATCATAAAATAGTGGAGCAGGCTCCTGGGGCTGAATTGCCTATTCCTATTCCTAGTTCTTACGTTGAGTTCTAGAGTTAGGCAAATCTGTTTTGTACCATCCATGTTTCAATCCTAGTGCAAATCTGATCTATTTCTGTGCTGTGTTCACAAACAATCATATTTTAAGCAGATTACATGAAAATGTTACATACAGCTCAACAGGCACTAACTGATCATGTGCAATTCAGGTGGTCATGAGAATACAAGTGGTCAGGCTTGCCAATGGAGATGTGGTGATTTGATAGGCTTACTGTTTACTTATCCAGCTGTTCTCAACTACCCTTCCTGCTTAGATATTAATGAAATGAATACTAAAAAGGAGGTCATGACTTGTTCTGCCTTGCATTTACCTCACCAACACAAATATCCACCACTTGATTTTTCTGTCACTGTTTCTGCTCAAAATTCTACCCTCCTATCTTGTCCCTTTCTTTGGTTCTGAGCTGCTCTATTCTGCCTATGTCAGTATCCACCATATGCTTTTCCTCATCATTTCAATACAGTTTGTGCTATCTTCTGTACTGGGAAAGCAGCAAATTATTGCTGAGGAAGGAATTGTATTTGAGATAGACCGTGGATTGTAACTGATGGTAGTGTTAATGGCTATGTGAAATTTTGTTTTATTTCAAACAGTTCGGTTTACAAAGAAAACCAGACTTGAATATTACTACCTTATAAATATCCGTGCGAATAGCTCTGGTCTGAGGTCAAAGCTACACATTTTCCTCATTTCGCTTCAAAAATCAACCGCTGATACAGCACTTAGTTTTTATTTCATTGATTTGGTAGACAATTATACAAGTGTAAGTGTAAACATGAACTTTAACTGGAGGGAGAAAGGGTCAATATAAATTAAAAAGGCATGATCTGATACATCCAAGGACAAATTTTACTGGGAATTTAAAAATTCTGAGATGGCCAGTTCATGAAACATCTTTGTAGAAACTCAGCACTTCTTGCTTTAATTTGCAATCATGTCAGATGTGATTGTTTCATCAAAATCGACATTGGTGTTAACTTGCTTGCCCACCAGCTTATAGATGTCATCTGGCTCAATGCCTTTGGGCTCTGCCACTTTCACAGTCATCATGTCCAGAGTCAGTTTTGTTCCTGCAGGAATAGTCACTTTGGCTACGACAGATTTGCCCAACTATAAAACAAGTCAGAAAAAATTTCAAATTTTAAAAAAAATACAAAAAAAAAATCAGTATTTCAACTGTTTAATGCAACGTGTCCTGTACATTCTATTCAGATCAAACTAACTTATAATTCCGTGGACTGTGGTGTCACCAATTTCTTTCAACAAGCATTTGGTCTGCCATCTTATTTTAAACCAAATCATCTTATCAGAAAAGCCAACACTGGGTATTAGCAGCTTCTCACATGTCTATAAATAAGAGGTTAGTCAAGTGATTGTCCATTCTGAACAGTCTAAAACTTTTCCTCGTCTTTACCTGACAACAAATAAAGAATAGCACAGAATAAATAAATAAATTTTGAACACTTGTTTAAGATTGTGTGGCACACAAACTGTTCGCAAGTAACTTACCTTGTTGTGGCAGGCCATCTCACATGGGAGCAAGCGTTTGATGGGAGACCCAAGTGCTTTTTCTACAATTCGGATCGAGCGAATTAGTTCCCGCAGCTCACTAGGCTCCAGTGAAGCTTGGTGATCGTTACCCTTCCAGCTTTTATCCATAGTCACGTGACGTTCCAAAACTTTAGCTCCCATTGTGACTGCTGCTATGCTTATGGCAATCCCAGTTTCATGGCCAGAGTATCCTATAGGAATATCTGGAAATTCTTTTTTGTATTCCTGAAAGTAGGAAGAAAGAAATAGCACCCTTCTGCAGAACAATGGTCCCATTTAACATTAGCAAGATGTGTGCCAAAGATAAAAAAAAGTCTATTTTACCAATTGCCATCAGAAGTTTTATTGTACAAGAGTATTCCCTGCCCTGTACCCCTGCCATTATCACAAGATGAAGGTCTTGGGTAAGATGTTTGCGCTCGTCAGTACCAATCTACAAATAGCAGGCAGGATTTTGCAAAATAGGTTAGACAGAGTCAGGAATAGCAGGAGAAGTGCTATGTAAAATTATTCGAGACCTTTTTGACCTGGTAGAGATAGCAGGCAGTGTGCATGGCTACACTGATGGGAGGCCTCTCTTGTTCATGTTTTAAAATTCACAGATACACCTGTGATTGTTGGCTATCCTTTGGTTCTCAGACTTGAAACGAAAGTGCAAATTGACAATTTTGGAAGACAATTTCAAAATTACATTCTCAAACAAATCAGAATGCTGCAGATCTGCAAGTCTGAAGTACAAACAAAATGCTGAAGAAACTCAGCAAGTTTGTCAGCATCTGTGGAGAGAGAAACAGAGTTAATGTTCTGACTCAGTACTAAAAAGAGATGCTGCCAGACCAGCTGAGTTTCTCCAGCACTTTATTTTGGTTGGTTTTAGACATCCAGCATCCACAGTTTGAGACTTTATTTTGATGTACTATAACTATAATATGGCGATGGTGACCTTCATCTAAGATCATATTGATTCTCTGTATTAAGAGTTAAATGGATGTTTGCACTTCCTTCCAATTAAGAAGCTGTAGGAAACCAGGAAGAGCTTTCTCCTGGCTTGCGGATACTCTTTTTGGCCAGGATTTTGCCACAGGCTTTACAATTCTAAAGTTGGGACCAAATTGGGGCCCTAATCCCACATCTGCCAACAGTTAGAGACAACTTTCAAGACAATCTGAGGGGCCAACAGTTTGAGGTACAAATTGGGAATCATGACAACAGCTGACCCCTGAGCCATAAACAGATCCTGGAAAAGGTACATCTCATTCAGAGCGGAGAACATTGTAGCAACTTTCCTCCAAACACTGCCCTTCACTTCCTGGGTAAGGGAAATGTCTATTCACCCAATGCCTGTCACAGCTTTAATTTATTAAATTGTGGCAGTTTTTACTAAAGAGGACAATCTTTCCTTTCACAAACCTCCAGCTTATACCAAATTAAAAGGACAGTGTGGTGTACAGAAATAACAAGAGTTATGTACCCTTCCCAAAATGTTAAAAATGCATGGTCCTACTCAAGGCTCAGACAAGAGACTGCAGAAGCTACTGATAGCTGCACAACAGAATGGTCATTGGTCAAGTCTTCAAAGGATATAGGACAACTGAGTCACTTGCATGTTGACGACCATTCAGAGACTGGAAAGCCTGCCAAACTCTGCCAACTTGCTTTATCAGTCATCCAAAACAGCCTCCAGTGCCCATGTATACACCAGATTTTGTTCACCCATCACATCCTTACTGTCTGACTTGAATTCAAAGGCTAAATGGGATAGCACTTTCAAAGAGCCAGTACAAGCCTTGGGCTGAATGGCCTTAATGTTTGCTGCAACATTCTACAAAAACTGGAAGGCAGAAAGATCATAGAATAAACAAGAAATTGTTATGGAGAACAATTATGGTGATTGTTATGGAGATTTGTCCACAGTGCAGACAGTCTGGCCTTAATTGTGAGAAATGTTTGGACGTGACACTCACGGTGATGACACGAAGATGAGTGTCCTCTGGCTCCAGGGGGTATGCACTGGTGCACTGGAGAAAGCAAAACTTATTATTGATGGGTTTCACAGTGTTGTAAACTTTCCTCATTGTTTCCATGCTCTGCATCCCACTGGAGATCACCATTGGACGACCTGGAGAAGGAGAAATTATCAGTACGACTGGAGAAGGAGAAATGATAATTTTGCAGAGTCAGAGTCATTTACCTTTCTTGGCAGCTTTTTCCAAATATGGAAAGTTATTGGTGTCCAAAGAGCCAACTTTGAAGAAAGGCACATTCAGTTCATGAAGAAATTCAACTGCCATCTGCAAAACAGAGGAACACAGCTCACCCAACCACTAGCACAGACTTACATTAAACCTTTGATTCTTTTCCATTCGAAAATGGCTACCTAGCCGTATGTTCTGCTGTAACCTTCCATCTCTAGTACTGCTCACTTTTCCCCCTCAACTCATTTCAACAAACTTGATTTCAGTCTGTGCCTACTGCGAAGATACTCAGAGTGTTAACTGAAATTAAGCTTCACAGTCAAAAGTATTTGAGTGTTAACCAAAAGTAAAGCATTCACAGACATAAATCTGTTGACTGAATAAAACAGAAGCAGGAGACGCTTCCTGTTCATGTAGCCATGCACACTGCCCACCATCACCGCCAGATCAGAAAGGTCTCAATTCAAATTTTACACACCCTTCTGTCCCCTCCATTATCACAAGATGGGACACTTGAACAAATCATGTCTGTGGTCTTCTGTCAAAACTTTTCTACAAATAGCCAGAATTTTGCCAAAGTTCCCACCTGCTGCACACAAGCTGCAACTGGTCTCCACCAGAACGGGAAACAAATGACAGCATCAGGTTGGATCGGAGAAATAAACAAAGCCTTTAAATTGTACTAGCTGTATTTTGTGCTGAGAATCAATATTGTAGTAGTAGACAAATTAAACATATACCTGTGTAGTAGAGGATTTAGATCTACACAGAGTTCATCATCAAAAACTGAAGCATTGACAGTTCCATCTGTCAGATTTCCTTGGGTGGGAAGAGACCAGCACAGGGCTTAATTTTTAAAGTCCAGTTAGACCGTTCAGTGGTGAAGTCAGAAAATATGTCTTCACAAAATATGCTGACAACCTGGAACTCTCCTTTTTAAAAAAAAAAAGCTGGTATGATTTCTTTTTTGTGGCAGGGAAATCAATTTTTAAAAAAAGGACAGGTTGTAGATTTTTTTTCCATTAAGGATACAGGTTATGGACCAAGGTAGGCAAACTGATGTAGAAGTATGCTGGGCTTAATATTCTACAGAAAAATGGGTAGGATAAAAAGTTTGTGAACATGTGCAGTATTATGCAAAGGTTCCAGCTAACACAGCCAAGATATGGCTTGACCCTTACCAATCCTTTTAGGCAATTATTTAGATACCAGAGTACACTGAAGAGAGACTTGAAATCACCTGAAATTACCATCTCTACCAGAGCTTGTAAGAGACTGAACTTTTAGAAATCTACAAATGTAAATGTGACTTTTTACAGTCATCACAGGGTACTTCAATCTAAAAGCAAAACTTGTCGGCAAAAAAAAATAACAGGACATACCTCATCCATTCCAGATGCTGTGAAAAAGATTCCAATTTCTTCTGCAAATTTGGAGAGCTCCTTATACTGCTCACGACTGAACTCCAGGTAACGCTTGTGATCTCCATATGTGGCTCCCCATGAATGTGGGGATTTGTAAGGCCTTTCTAATGCTCGTTTGTTAAACTTGTACTCCAGTTCACTTTTTTGAAACTTTGCACAGTCTGCACCACATTCCTATGAAGGAAAAACTCAAAGGCAGTATAAATTTACAATTACTGATTCTTTCCTAAACAATTGGCTATTAGAAAACGAAGCCTGTTTACTAAAGTTTGTACATAATCCAACTAAATCTTGAAACCTTTTAGAAAAATGAGATGCCTACCAACTATTTCTTCCTTCACACATATTTCCTGTATTGAAAAAAAATTTAGAACATATTCTTTAAAAAAGTGAATAACTGAACCAAAACTATCCAATATAAAAGTTTTAAAATTCATACATGGAATGTGGGTGATGCTGGCTAGAGCAGGATTTATTTCCCATCCCTCACTGCCTTAGCAAAGGTAACTCCTGATTCACTGCAGTTCATTTGCTGTTAGGGACAGAATTCCAGGATTTGACCCAGCAACACCGAAGAAGCAGGGATATATTTCCAAATCAGGATGGAGAGAGACATGGAAGGGAACTTGCAGGTCATGGTGTTCTCATGTATCTACTGCCCTTGTTCTTCTAGATGGTCATGGTTGTGCATTCCAAAGGTTTTTTAAAAAAGTTCTTTTGTGAGACATGGGTGTTATCAGCTGACCCAGCATTTATTGCCTGTCTCTCATTGTCCTTGAGAGGGTGGCGGTGAGCTGCCTTCTTGACCTGCTGCAGTGCAATTTGCCGAAGGTAGGCTCAAACATAGGGAGTTACAAGGGTGCTGTTGATGACGCCTTAAATGCGTTATTGCAGTGCATCTTGTAGATGTTACGTATTGCTGCACTGCACAATGTATTGGTGGTGAAGGGAGCAAATACTTAAGGTGATGGACAGGCTAACAATCAAGCAGACTGCTTTGTCCTAAACAGTTTCAAGATTCTGAATATTGTCGGAATGGCACCAATCCAGCTAAGTGAACAGTATTTCAAACACTCCTGAATTGTGCCTTGTAGACAATGGACCTGCGATGGGGAATCAGAAGGTAAGTGAAGTTATTACAGGATTTCTTTCCTCTGACCTCATCCAAGGGCCAACGTACTAATATTGCTGATCTATTTCAGTTTCTGGTCAATGGTAACCCCTAGGATGTTGGAGGGTGGGAATTCAGCAGTGAGACGCTGTCATGGATGTCAACAGGCAATGGTTAGATTTGAACTGGAGATTTGAAGGAGGATCACTGGACCCTTCACATTAACTCTGCATCCGCAGATGTTGCCAGAAATGTGGAGTTCCTTCAGCATCTGTTTTTTCAATTAGAGTCTCTTGTTTGAAATGGTTTTTGTCTGGTACTTATGTAGTACAAAAATGCTCTTTGTCAGTTATAAAGCCCAAACCTGGATTTTGTTCACATCATGCTGCACAAAAGCATCTATCAGCTCGTCTAGCAAAGCTTTGGTGCACCTTGTGTGCTTCAGTGTAAAATTCTATCACTTGCACTCCAGTTTTTCACATTTTAGTGTGAAGGTAGTGTATACACACAAGTGATTATTTCAATTCTAATCTGTCCAAACAAATGTCAGAAAACGAGTAGCATCAGCAGAATCATCTCATCAGTACTCCTGCTTTGTCCCAACATCTCTTTGCATTGGTTGATCTTTCCTAGCCCAGACCAGATCTTTTGTTCTCTCACCACAATCGAAAAGGCTTGACATATTGAAGATTTTCTGAAAGTGTGACATGACTTTACTCTCCAGAATCTGCCTGACCAGACCATCTCCCTAATTTCTATTTTATTGTAGATGTGCAGCTTCTGCCCTCTGAATTACCATTCCAATAATGGGGTGGTGGTTAGGTTAGGAATAGAAACCCTCAGGAGATGGGGGATGGGAGGGAAAGCAAGTCAGGTCACTGGGGCCTGGAGAATCAATGATCACACCAGGAACACACAGAGTGGAAATCACATACTGGGCAGAGTTAAACAGGAGATAGTAGGAACTGCAGATGCTGGAGAATCCGAGACAACAAGGTGTAGAGCTGGATGAACACAGCAGGCCAAGCAGCATCATAGGAGCAGAAAGGCTGACATTTCGGGCCGAGACCCTTCATCAGAA